TCGGGAATAATATACAGTAACAATGTGCTGTTCTAGATTGCAAATCGTATCCTGTATATCTATAAGATTTCTCGTTTGCGACAATGTATCACCCAATAAAAGTTCGACAAAATCTACGCAGTTATGATTCATGGTCTCGAGTAAATAAACGATCGACCGTTGATCGTCTGCGTTTCCTTGCCCATCCAAAAAAATTCGCGCCATTTGATTACACGTCGCGTGGGCGAAATGCCGATCAAAAAACAATTTTGGAATATGGAAGGAAGAAATCATCGACGCACAGTAAATGGCAAATCAAAGAGAAAAAAAAATCGCGTATACTGTATATACTGTACGTATTCAGATAGCAAAAATAAAATAAGAAAATAGAATGTTAGATGAGAATCGGGCCGAGCCGCATCATCGTATAAAGCGAAATTCCTGTCCTGTAACCGAGAAATATTCTTACCGGCTTATGTATAATGTAAATAGGCACCTACTACTTACGTACAACTTTACGTGCTGCATTCGATTGATTCATCGAAGAGACATATCAAATTGCTTGCTTAACTGCGAGATAAAGAAAACTTGCCATTTTTGTTTGATCACAGACCATTAAAGGGAGGTCGGACTAATGAATCTCAGCACCAACTTTAAATTGGTATGCAGCGTGATTTCTTATCGAATCTATCTGTGCGACACAATTCATTGCAAATATTTGTTCATTTAAGCGTTTGTGTTTACAATATAAATATTTGTTCAATTCATGATTCCTTTATTACGTATCACGACGTACTGTACGTGTACGTGTACGTGTTAAATCTCACATGAGAGAGATTAAAATTGGCAAAAAAATAAATTTACCCGTCGTTTAACGTTAATATTATAGTGTGTCACGATACTTCGTCATGTTTTCTCTTAGTTTTTACTTGTGTGTTACGTACAGTATATCTCGCATACAATGCGCACATTCACACTACGGTATCATTATCAATGAAGCATCGATTAAAACTCTCCTTTCTCGCTGTTTAATTCATTTACTACAGAAACCAAATTTGTTGATCGCTTCCATGTTACGTGTATAATATATTTTAACACCGTAGGAATTTTTTTTTTTTTTTTGTCGACCATAAATACTCCATGCATTTAATTCGTCGATCAGACATTTCGATATGCACTTCGAACATACAGTAACTAGATTTCATATTTCGCCTATTCCTTGACAGTTTATGCATCCGAAAAATATTTTAAAGCTGAAGTAGGTTAGTCACATTGTCCCGAATGCGTGGTCGACGGGGAGCATTAAAAACTTTCCTTACGAATCAACATAAATTAAAAATGAATTCCTAAAAAACAAAGGTGTCGTGCTACAAACCAGGGACGCCAAGCGTGCGATTGCGGTATGCTCGATAGGCAGATTAATCAATTATTGCTGTTGCTGTTATCATATTATTTGGTTGTGACGCGAGGGAGGCAAGTATTAATTGGTTTCTCTCATTTGTCCTTCCTGAATAGCTGTTAGACAATAGAAAAAAATATATATATTAATTTTATTTTATTTCTTTCGCACCTTCTTTTACTGCACAAATGAGGAACACAAATATCTGTATATCATGGAAATTAATTTTATTGGTTCCGAACGTATGCATACGTACTGCAGGTTATTTTTAATATACAAATGTGCTGTCTGACCGAGATTTCTCGATCGTGTGTACTTTATTCAAATTGATTGTAGCATTCAAGACACTAACGATATCGAACTTGATTGATAAAATTCAAAAGTGTCTGATGTGTCGCTCACGACCGAATCACCCGTCCCTCATTCTTCCCCACCAAATATTCACCTCGGTTAAGAAGGGCCCGAGGAAACTACGGCTTATGGTAAATGGCTGTGCGATTAAAAATGAAGACGCAAGATACCGAAGTTGAAACCTCGACTCCCTACCTAATACATGAAAATGTGTGCTAAGTAAATTTGTGTGTCACATTTGTAGCATGTGCTATAATGTTCGGCGAGCCCGGGAAATTTGTTTTTCTTCTTTAGCAATTGATGTACCGTGCTGTAGTGATCAACTAATAAGGTTTCGGCGATACCAACCCTGCACAAATGTACATGCAATGCACTCTATCATATTTGCATTTGTACTTGACAAGACCCTCTTTCCCCTTCATTAGGATATTCATCGATTTTTTTTTTTTTTTTTTTTTTTTTTTTTTTTTTTTTTTTGTTTTTTTTTTTTTTGTAAAATTTTATATTTTTTTTTTTTTTTTGGTGGGTGGGGGGTTTTTTTTTTTTTTCTTTTTTTTTTTATCGATAAAAGTTGAAAATCTTTCTTGTTTAAAAATGGGAAGAGGGTTCATTTCATTCTACATTTCTTTTACGAAACAGGCGTTCCAGATGGCAATGAAAAAAAGAATTATTCGAAATAATAATAATAATAATAATAATAATAAATTTATAGTTACATAATTAATAATACAAACGTACATACGTACTTATCAGTGTGCACTGCGTTACCTTCCTTTCAAAGCGACCTGTTATCAGTGACACGAGATTTGTGATTTCTTCACAAAAGATATATAATAATACTTTTTTCTTCTTGATCTTTTCCTCTTATTTTTTTTTTCCCCTGCACTCCAGGTTATTGAATAAAGATACACGGCAATTTTATAGTGGATATTATTTAATTCTTTCATGATCATTTGGGAAAAACATTATATCCCATTCTTTCCTTCTTTCTCTTTCGTAGAATTCTTGTTTCGCCCTCTTAAAATTTTCAATCTCATTTTTCTTCATCCCATCTGCATAATTCACGACTGCGTCGGAACCACCCCCAAAAATAAAATAGAATCAACGCCACTTTCTATCGCCACAAATGTCTACCTCACCAACCAATCAATCGTTCGGAGGATCTTTGCTGAAAAATAGATGCCCACAGAGTGCTTACCTGAAAACTCACAAGTACATTTCCTTTTCTTATGCCATTGGCTCCACCACATTCCAACAAGGTGTGCTCGGTGATGCGGATAGTTATCTGGAAGGAACCGTCCACCTGAGATATGGGAAACCTTGTGCGGTAAAAAATGTGATCCTTAATTTCCGAGGTTCCGAGAAAACCTCTTGGTACAAAGCTCAAGCGAGAACAAAGTCCGTCTACACCGGTGAACAGATCTTGGCCGAAAAGACCGAGAAGATCTGGGAGAGCGAAAACGAGAAATCTTATAGATATACAGGATACGATTTGCAATCTAGAACAGCACATTGTTACTGTATATTATTCCCGA